TGTGTGTGTGTGTGTGTGTGTGTGTGTGTGTGTGTGTGTGTGTGTGTATGTGTGTGTGTGTGAGAGAGAGAGAGAGAGAGAGAGAGAGAGAGAGAGAGAGAGAGAGAGAGAGAGAGAGAACAGGACAGAGAATAGGAGATCCAGGTCCATCTGTTGTACAGCCAGTTATACAGCAAAACTGAAGCACATGTGTACTTACATCCTCTTCAGCTGTCAACTGATTCCCCAGGACCAACATGCCAATAGGAGTAGCTTTCAGAGCAGGACCACATCTGATATTATGACCTGATGTACCACACTTGACAACCTGATATACACCTGGGCCTCCTGTAATACAAACAGTCAATTTGCTATGCCAGTCATACTGTTAGGAAAAAAATATATAGAAGCAATAAAACACAATAAGTATTAAATGTGCAGATATAAAGGGTGAACATATACATTTGATCTTCAAGTTTGAAATTTCAAGAACCAACATTCATATCTACTTTTATTCTTTTAAACCAAAAGTTAAAATAATAAAATAAGATTTACTGTATTTATGTGCCTTTTTACATCTACCTACTTTCAATGCCAGTTGTACTGTGTACAGTGACAAATAGAATTACTACTTCTGAGAATACTGCATTCTCCAACACCTTTTTAATTTGTATATTATGAATTTGACATGACTTGATGGAACACTAACACCTAAGGAATGTGAAGATCTAAGCTGTATGCCCACCTCCATATTGTCTATCATTATCTGAAAAACAAACCTGTACCTGTTGGTGGTTTAACAGGGGGTGGTGGTGTGGCCTCAGCCAAGCTAGGTGGTGCCTGGGCAATGGGGGCTGGAACTGGCGCCGCAGTGGCACCAACAGAAGATGGCGCTGAAGTTATTGTGGCAGCCGCAGCATTCTCAGCTCCAGCAGTGGATGTGTCACTGCTCGTTGACATGGGGCGCATTCCTCTTTCCTGCAGAATCTCTGGCAGGCGTCTTAGGATGGTGTCTTTTATTATCTCATCCAGGATGGATTTTGGCTCTTCAACAGGAACCAGCATGGTCTTGCCAAGGTGCTGGTTGTACTGCATGGCCCAAGCCTCATTGTAGCCATTGTTACACCAAGTCTTGATGGATTCTGGGCTCAGTCTCAACCAGACTCCGTCGTCATTGTGGATCTGGTCAAGAAAGGAGAATTTCAAGTTTAGAGCACAGTTCATTTTCTGTCAACAATATACGTATCTTTTATATGAGTGAGTCACTGCAAAAGTTGCAAATAGTTGAAACCTTAATTCTCCAAAACATGACAGAAAAGAATCCCATCCATACCTCATCAGTGAATGATATAATACCACTTGGCTTGATGATCCCAATCTGTTCACTGTGAAGGGAGGGATTTAGACGTATTCTGAGACCAGCACTGTACTGAGCAACAAACTTCCTGGTCTGGAATAATAAAGGTGTACTATGATATCACTGATCATCCAATACCACTTGTATACAACTTGTATGTACAGAAATGTATGACTTTTAAGTCTCAGTGCAAAGATTACAATTTTTTCAAGATATAAAATATCTAATTATGTCCTTTCATTCAACTGACAGTCTACTATGAGTGGCATCGACCTCAACCATTTTAAATTTATACACTGTGAGTTGCACCGATAAGCAAAACTGAAGCAAAGTCCATCCCATACCTTGCTTGGCTGATATGGTTGTTTTTTCCCAGGCAGCTGAGTGGGAGGGTTCAGTCCTATTGGTGGCTCCCTCACCTCCATCTTGTGGACTTCACCTACAGAAGAATATGAACACAGCATCTTTTAATAAAAAATCAAAATTTCAAAATTCAATGCTGCACTAAGTGTCACACTTAGCTTACACTTTATACTTCTAGACTAATACTGACTGATATCAGACTGACATCAGACTACCTATATATCAGTCAACAGCCAGAGATCAGTATTACATAGGTTCACAGGGCTTTAAAAGTTCTGACTAGGTTAACTTTCTTCATCAGAATCTCACCCTGCCTTACTGAAAAATGAAGTCCATCCTTGTACTGTTAAAATTCATCCTGCAAAAAAACCCATTCTGACACATTGTTCGAGTGTTACCTGTTTCAAAGCCGTCCACACTGACATATACACTGTACCAGCCTGAGGTGGCTGGCGTCCAGCGACAAGCATACGTGCCATCTCCGTTGCTGCAGACGAGCATGTTTTCACTGGGACGACGCACTGCTGGGGCAGCATAGCGAAGCTCTTCAAAGGAGTACTGCTCATATGCCTGGAAAAGTCCGTAGATATCTACATCATATTTTAATTTTCGGCAACTCATTTTTTATCCAAATTTTATTTCAGACCAATTTATCTGAATTTCATTTCAGAATAAGAATAATTTTACAAATACTACAACATCATTAAAAAAAACAGTAAATTATGCACAATAAAATATTTTAAAAATATATGCAAAAAGAAAAGTCTGATTTCACATGCAAAATTTTAATCTTTTGCTTTTAAATGTTAAAACACATCAAACTCAATAGCTAACAAGATATCCCATAGTTTGGGGTGTCAGAAATACTTTCTGGTAAAATGACTCTACCTTCATCATGGTGATAGCATGAAAGGCATCCTTCTTGTCCTTCACTGTCACCTCGTATTGTGTATCCAGGTTTGGGGCAGGATGGCCTCCAAATGTCAGGTTTGCCTCCTCAGCAGCTTTACTCAGACGTCGTATCTTCTTGTTGGCATCTGCCTCCTTGTTGTCAAATGGGACAGCCCTAACCTCAACCTGCACAAAAAATCATAGCAGCATTTCATTCATTTCAAAAATAATCCCTGGAGCTCACACTGTACCCAAAATTATTCATAGGAAGTCGCATGATTCAGCATTTCTTTATCATAAATGAAAAAGTTTATTTTTCAACTAACTTTGCTAGTATGTATTTTTTTAATATCTTGATTTAATTATTACACATTAACATACTTTTAAATTGGATTGCATCTTCTCTAAAACTACAAGCACAGTCTATCCATGCATCAAAAAGACTTACTTTCAGGTTGGGCACATGCACCAGCTGGGCATACTGGTCTTTGGTCTGCACAGTGATCACAGCAGGCCAGCTACAGCGCAGGTCTTCTCTATTGTACTGGATATCAGTGGCTTTAGGGTCAAGGTAGGAATCTGGCTGAAGCCACCTGGGCAGAAATAATCAAGGTCTAGAGTAACAATCTGTGGTTTCAATGAAGTAACATCTATTTATCTACTAATGCCAACTTCAGACATGGCTCTCAGGGCAGGTTGCATGTGGAAATTCATTAAAAAAAGTGCTGCAGTATCTTCCCAAAATCACTTTGCCAACATCTCAACAGCTCCCTCCCCTCTCCCACTCTCTTTCTCTCCAAATATTTAATCAGTGGTCCTTGTCCCAAATTAATCAAAATATTTTTTAACTACTACTTATTTTATTCAGCTAACAGATTTAAAAATGTACAGAAAAATAGACAGCCAGGAATAGAAAATTGCCATGAATCACATACCTTAACCACTTGACCTCTAAGTAATCAAATATGCTATCCAAAAGGTTTATAGTATAAATTCGATATAACTACTATACCTTGCCAGCCTCCCTCCACTGGTTCCTGGCGTGCAGGATGCAAAGTCCTTGAGAAATGCTCTCTCATTGGATGTGCTGCTGTATGGAAGGTTACCATCTAATGCCTGCATGATACTGGGAGGTTGTGACAGTGCGAGACCTTTTCCCAGAAGAAAAGAGTGTGCACTGAACACCTGCTGAGCCCCTTCATCTATCAGGTCTAGGTCTTCCTCTACTTCTTCTACTGAAGCTGAAAAATCCAAGTTGATAGTAAGTCAGTAATTTCAGTTTATGCCTTATTTTCTTTTTCCTTTACCCTCCACGTCATCTGGAGGCAATTCAAAATGTTTACAAAATAAATTCTGTAATTAAAATCAAATTCAATTCTAAGAAGAGAAGCACATTAAGATGCCATTTGATTTGATATATCATTTATCCCCAACATATATTTCTGTCATTTTTGACCAATTTATAACTCTTGGCAGAATAACATCAGGAACAAACCAATACCTGCAGGAAGTTGAATGTCTTTCCTCATGAGAGATGCTGCACACATGGACCCCAAGTAGGCCACTTCTTTCTCTAGCTGCATCACTCCCTATCATATCAAAATGATAAATTGAATCCACAATCTACTCTTTAGAAGCCATCATGTTGATTTTTGCCATCATATCAATTAAATCTTGTTAGTCTGACTCAATACTTCTAACTAGTTAATTCTAACCAGTCAAAATTATTGCATGCATGTCATAATAGCACATCTTTATTTTTCATCTTTTTCGATCAATCTTTTTTAGTTTTGTCATAAAAAAAAACTTGAGAGAGAGATACACTCTGGCCTTTTCACAACCCTCACCTCAGCTGGAACAGCAGACCACTCATATGCCACTACAGCACACTTGAAGCCATAGAAACAGGCCTTGTCATCTTTGACATAGTCCGAGGCCGTCTCCAGAGAGAAAACCACTTCATTGCCTAATGAAATATTGGACATGTGTTCAAAGTCAAACAAATATGCCTTGTTCATCTGTACAGTGTGCAGGAGTTAATTAAACAGCAATAATGGGATATATGAAGCACAGTTTAATTTTATACAAGAACAAAATAAAAACCTAGGAATGAAATAATTTAGAAATCAGACTTTTCTGTCAGGGAGTTTATACCAGTTCTTCACTTGGCTACAAGTGAAGAACTGATATGATTATACACTATCTGGAACCTTTGTGCATTATTTACTTCTTCCTAATCAGACTAATCTGGTAAATCTAGCCTAATGTCAAAATTCCCATTTGGCAGAACAACTGTTCATCTGACCAGTGACATTTTTCAATACTGCAACAGCTTTTCAAAACTGGTTGGTTAATTTTACTGACCCACCCCTCCTTCCAAACCCTTTCCTGGCTCCCAAAGAGTCAGAATTCTGCAGACAGTCACAAAAATTTCATCTCTGGCTCTCAATCAATTTTTAAATAATTTTTACCTGGCAGGATAATTGACATGCTCGGCCAATTGTGCTGACCATAGAATTTCTTCAGCACGGGCCAGTAGGTGTCCAGGTCAGTATCGGCCATGCTCTGCCTGTGTGCGGCCACCTGCTTGGCGGAATAACGAGCAGGGATGAACAGCTGTAGGCAGTCCTCATTCTGGGCTGTGCCGCACTCTGGGGCAAACTCCAGTGACATCCACTTCACATCCTCCGGGAAAGTTACCTACAAGTACAGTGATGGATAATAGTTGTATCTTAATTAGAGACCATCATTTTTTAGATTGGTCACATACTCGTATTTTTAAACAAACAAAAAGACCCATCTTTCATCTGAGTAACAAGATATATCATGGTATGGTACTGTCCTTCCCTGTTGCTCTTACACATACACAAATATCAACTTACTAACTGTTAATGCATTGAAATTTCCTACATAATACATACTATTTTAAAATATCATAATTATCTGTGTTTCTTGGATTCTACAGTATTTCCTTACTATAAGCCATGCAGTCGGTCAAGGTGGCAATATGAAAAAATTCATTTAGCATGAATTCTCATTTTTTTATCAAATACCAATTATCAAACACACAAAGTATTTACCCTATAGTTGACCACAGCAGCAGGTTTATAAGGATGGTCACTTTCCACAATGGCATAATGCTGGGAGGTGGTTGAGAATTCCATCAGCCCATTGCCTCCATTGCTATTATGAACTTTGGCCTTTTCAGGACCACCTTTCTCAGCCTGAATTGCATCCATGATAATGTTCAACGCTGCTATAGGTGGCAGCAGCTCCTGGACTAGGCTCAGGGTTTGGACAGCACTCTGAAATATATATATTAAAGAATATACTTCATTCGCGAATGAAATAATGCTCTCATACTTGGTAAATTGCATATCCATCAGTGAATATATGCTATGAGGAGTGTAATATGGAAAAAGGAAATAGGAGTAGCACTTTAACTTATTCATCATATATGCTACAAGCGACAGCAAAGGCACACACTTGTATGGGGGTCCCAGTTTACATTTCACTTGTGCATGCATACACATGTGCACAATCTTTGTGATAAACTTACTCTTGGATCTTGTGAAGCCACTGGTCCAATATATGCCAAAACCAGGGGTAGGAGTGAAGAAAAGATGTGAGCTTTACCCAGGGTCTCTGACAGACTCTCCGCTGGAAAATAAAATTAATTGATTATTTCTCTATCTAAAGTTTTCCATTAAAGAAAATGGGAATTGTCTGTTATGCCCATTTACAATGACTTCATGTCTAGGGATTCTTGAGCTATTCAATAGTTATAATTATGAAGGATATATGCTTTGAAATTAATTTCAAGTGGTTCTCGGACTTGTATCCAATATACTCAACAGTTTTAAAAATTCATGACTTTTGTAGAAGTAACGATGTAAAAACAACAATCTTGGTAATTTTGACATGGTGATCCATGTCAAGAAGTTGGACTCCTATGCCAACATGCAACTTGTGGAATACAGCTAATTTAGGTAGACACAAGTACAACACCATCACTAGCTATAAGTATCATCCTTGCCATGCACAGGAACATGAAGATATGCAAAATTCTCAAATGATGCATCATATATATATTAAAACTTACTCAAATAGTCAACACATATAAATTGTGTCATATAAAACTGGAAACACTAGAACATCATGACTTAAATGTAAACTAATATGTATATTTACACTGTACAACTTTGATAGTTTTTTTTTTATATAATCTGCAATCAAAATAGCTGTAAAAAATGGCAAACAACACCACAAATGATATGTTCATGACCCAAAATTGATAACAATACATCACATCAAATGCATTATTTTACTAATATAATATCAAAGCACATTTAGAATAATTCCGTGGCAGTTTTGTCACACTCTTTCAAGAAACCCCCTCTTCCCTACCCTATTGTCAAATCTTAACCAGCAACAAGACTTCCTATCTAGACAGTGCAAGTGATATATTTTCAGCTGAAAAAAAGGTGGGAAACAACAATGCTGAACTACATTTACCACAAACAGCAATACAATAATGCAACATAGTGAAGTCAATGTTACCTAGTGACAGTGACATACTCTCAACTGAAATAAAGTAAGATAGTGGAAAGTCAAATAATTAAAGAAGTACTGAGAGACATCATAGTGAGCAACTATCAAATAGGAGAAAGTAAAGAGTGATGCTATAATGGCTCCTGGTCACCATGAAGGCATTCCAACAGGACATTGAACCCAGACTGGTTTTAGGTCTAGATTAATCCGCCACATTAACACAACTTATGAGTGGACAGAAATATGAATACCATCTATGACAATATTCAATCACCTATAAAGAAACAAGGAGGTGCAATTCTACAAAATCTTTCAATCTATTTGATTAATATTATATTTATTGTTTTTTCACATACCTGCATGTCCTTGAGCTCTGTTCAATAAGTCAGCTGCCGCTCGGATAATACTATTAGCTAACCACAACACATTCTTGCGAGACTGACCCTCGAGAAGGCTGCGGGTATTCTGGTGCTCATTCTCTCCTTCTTGGACAGTGCTAAAATTAGGAATGGGGAAAAGATATCTAAATCAAAGAATTTGTCTACTGGAGCATGCTTATATATAGGTTTTAAAGACAGGTAATCTGAATATTATTGTTGGCCAGTGTTACTTTCTTTTTCTGGACAACAATCTTTTTAAAACCGTGGAATTGCTGACAAAAATTTTAAGAAAAAAGGAGGATATTACTATTTTTACTGAAAAACCATTACCAGGACCAATTTACCATACCTATAATATAGTATCTGAGGGATCTGTCCTCTCATGTTGTTTGTGCCATTACTACTCAGAGAACAGGCACTGAAGGTGAAAGATGTACCATCTGGACATTTCACCAATGTCATGCCACTGTCACCATTTAATGTACGGGGACCATGGTTTCTGATTCTTATTGCATATTTCTGTCCTTCCTAAAACAGAATTAAACAGGCACTTGAAGTTTGTAACTTGGCTGTTAGAGTACAAAATGATGTTTTCAAAAATTGCCCCACAAACATAAAACAATAAAATATGCAAACAACTATAAACGAAACAGTATAAAGATATCATAAAAACTGAGATCTAAAATATATGACAGCAAAGATGGATATACAAATACTTATCTATTACTATGTAATAATTCTTTCTACTAGGCAATTCTGATTTTCTTTTACAAACCTTGATGGGTACAGGCCTGTCAAATTTGATTTCTCCTATGTCTGCCACATAGTCCTCTGCTGTGAGGGTGCCCTTGGTCATCTCTAGGGTATTCCACCTCTGAGTGTGCTCACTGCCTTCACTTTGCTGGGTAATAGATGTGCAATGTGATTAATGCAAGTTTTGCGAGTTCACTGCTTTTCTTTTGCTGGTTTTATTAAAATAGTCGACGAGAACTAGCATTAAAAATAATGATCTTCACTGCATTATATCTGCTGTGAATTAACATAAAAAATCAAATAGTTCAAAGTCATAATAACTTCAATTTTTTCACAGGTTTTGAATGGTTCATTAACCTTAAAACCTATATATTAATACTTGAGTTCCAAGAATTTAATGGATAAATTATTATCCACATTCTTGATGAAAACAAGACATACCTCATCCAAGAGCTCTAGCTCATAATCATAAGACTCTCCTGCACCATAGACAGTGGCGCCAGCTATCATAATGCCCGGCTTATCGACAGAGAAACATACAGCATCAGGACTCCCATTTCCTGTGTTCCAGTAAGCACTAGAGCTAGTGCGCTGGAAGCGGTTGGGAGTGGTTAGGAGAGGGCGGCTGGTGGGGTTCACATCAACCTGCAGTTAACACAATATAAATAACTGTAATGATTCATGTGCTTGCAATATGATCATCATATATACATCTAAGACTGGAAAAATAAATATTTGATTATTCACAAAACTACAGATAAATACCATATATACAAGAATACATGTATGGATCAAAATACTAATGTAAGACAATAAAAAAATCATTACAAAGCAAAGAATCAAAGCTTGAATATGAACATTTCAATCTTACTTATGGGTCTGACACACTGTAGTAAAATGCCTACATTCTTATTCCTGATATAAGTTCACATGTGATGAGATGTTAAAATAAGTTCACCATAAAATGATACAAAATATCTATTTTCAAATATGTCACCTCTGATCCTGTAGCTGTAGCAGCCAGTTCACTTATGATACACGCCAGCAGAGAGCAGGTGTTGGACACTAGGCTGCTAGGATAGCTCATGCGCTCCTGGAAATCAACAAAAACTAAGAGTCCATTATGTTGCTGTCCAGATTTAGGCTATGCCCCAACCATCTGTTACATATTATCTGTTACAAAACTGATCAATGTCCTTTTATACAGGGTCGAAGTTTTTAGACCTCAAAAGCAGCAATCAAAGCTCGGATCTGACAAAATTAAATTTTTATGATGAGTAAACACTTTTAAAATGGATATAATCTTGACTGAAGTTATGTTGTGCCTATTTGTGAACCTACCTGCTGCAATGTCTGTCTGACTGGAAGCACTACTATAGTTAAAAGCTTGTCCAGCACCTCTTTGAATGTACACTGTGGAATACCACTCCCCTCCATCTGGAAACAACAGTAAAACATGTACCACCTGTCCTATTTTCTATGAAACTCCATGATAACAATGGTCTACTAAAACAGGACTGCAATTATGGGTAAATATGAAGACTGAGATGTAATGCATCTAATTACATTTGAACGGCTTGTTGATGCCCAAAATGTTTGAACACTGTCACCCAATCAGAATTATATTCAAAATTACAAGAAAATAATACTAATTCTATTTTTAAAATATGAAAGAAGAATGCTTTTGAAATTATAAGAAAAATGTGATAGATATCAGACGAAGGAAGATAAGAATTTTACTTGCATATAAGGTTTTACGCAAGTGTAAAACCTCACCTCTGTTTTCTGAGTGACACATAACACATAACACATAAACACTAACACAAGTGTAAAATCTCACCTCTGTCCTCTGTGTCATGTGTACCACCAGTAGAGGGAACCGTGTGACGTCTCCAGACTGAGCAGCACTGTTAGTGTTATCGTCCACACTGAACTGTCTCTTCAGCACCCTCTGGATCACATGTTCACAGTTAATGGGCAGGATGCTGGTCAGTTTTACTGTGGGCTGACACAGGGCTTCCATCACTGCTGCCAGCAGGCAGCTTAGGCCTTCCACGTCTGCATTGTTCTATAATTATATTAAAAGGTGATGCGATGCAAACTTCTTCAGCCCATTGGTACTTTGACTAACAGGGATCAATTACTACTTGTCTGAATAGAAATTAACTAGTCTGTTGATAAAACTTACTGATACTGGATAAATTATTATATCAAAAACAACCACTTCAGTGTGAAAATTAATTATTAAGAAAATTAATTATTAAGATAAAATATTAAAAATTTAATCTGGAAATTTCAACCAAGGCCTAAACAAAGACCCTACTACTCACTGGCTCAGTAAAATTTAGCAGTTCACACAGACAAAGCCACTTCAAGTTTGCTGTGGGGTAAAAAGCATGGAAACATGCTGTAAAAGTCATGTGGCATTCCTCCAGTAACAGTTTGATCATCTCCTTATATTTGTGGTGCTGCACATGGGGCAGGTTCTCGGACAGTATCTTCCTCAGTAAAGCTCTGGCCTCACCCACACACTCTGCCAATTTCATGGTCTCATTTGGAGTCTTGGCTGTTGATTCTGACGAAGGATTATTTGACAAATTAAGTGCAAAGATATCAAGACTAGCTATGTTTACTTGGCAATCTTTTTAAAGTTATATATCTCTTCACTTTTCAATAAATCTAATGGACAAGCAACATCTGATTTTCTTTCAACTGCATACATTGAAAACATGTTCAATTTCCTATTTTGCCATTTATCAGTAAAAAGATATAATATTGTCCAATTATCAATAACAGTAATCAAAAACTTTCAAAATATTCCTGGACACTCTGATTTCAGTCTAAAAATGCACACAAGATAAATTTTGAAGTCAATCCATTTCACAAAATGATAAAACCGAAGGAATCTTTGGATCAAATTTTTCCACTTACGTCCACTGGGATAGGTCTCACAAATGTAGGTCCTGACCAGTCTGAGGCCTGAGGTGGTGATGTAGACCAGTCTGTCCAGGTCAGCCAGGGCACCGGTCAAGTTGCTGCCCCTCAGGTCCACTATATCTGGGACACTGGCATTGAAGGTCTTCCAACTCCAATCCACTAGACGGAGGAGGGCTTCAAAACAGTCCTAGGATTGAACAATGGATATTAAAATACGTTGAGACAAAGGCAGGAGGAAACTAATTGCAGACCTTATTTTGTAACAATGCAAAAGTAAACGGTCAAATACATTAATGGATTTTTATAAAAGATAATTTACATAAAGACTGGAATATATACTTAATTTTGAGTTATTTGAGTATTAGCTTTCTGCTGTGTTCAGCAGGAAACAACACATGCACACACACACACACACACATGCACACAACATTTACGTTTTCAGCAACCACTTGCTCAAAGTAAAACATATCCTGATCCATTTAATGCAGTTTTCATAACTAAATTGTTCAAATAAATTTCCACTTAATATTTTAATGAAAGAAGGTTTAAAAATTATTATTTTAGTTATTTTTGTGAACATACTGGTACAACTGTCTTGAAGAAGTCCTTGCTTAGGACATGGGCAGGTTCTATGTGATCTGTCTTCCTGACTGCACTGGTATGGTCATGAGCTGGTAATCTATAAAGTAACTGTGGTATCTGTCCAGCATTCACATCAGTGCCATTGTTAGACATCTTGGAGTTCTTGAACTTGAAAATGACCCTGAGATGAAAAAGATAAGAACATATTTTAGGCATCGTTATGACAAAAGCAACATTTATTTAATTTTAAGTTGTAGCTTTAGAATTCAAAGCTTGGTAAAATTTCACTGAAAAGTTATAAACTAAAGAAAACTAAGATGTATCTTATGTTCATGGTTTGATAAATAATAACTTTACTAAACCATATCTGGCCGACTTCTCACATGCCCAAACACTAACGCTATTAAATTTATATATAAGGTTGTCTACTTACTGGTCATCTGTGGCTACTGTAGCTTGACCACTTGACCCACAGTCACTGCTAGGTCCAGATATTCTTGCCCAGGCCACATACCAATGGTTGGCCTGGAGGGGCACTGGGTCTTCAAACAACAGAGGATGTTTTTCTCTGGAAGAGATTGTAATTGAGTTTAATCACTGCAAATCTTTATGGTCATTTCTAGAAATACAGGATGCCACTGTTTTTTAATCAGTAAAAAAAAATCCCAGAAGCAATAATAGGTATGTGCTCTTACAAACAAGTAAATAAGTTTAATATAGCTTTTATCTTTTCTTTTAAGATCCTATCCTGCCTTTTTTCTTACTGTCCTTGTGCTCTTTTTAAACCAAATTTCTAACTGAACGTAGAATTTGCTACAACTATTCAACTTTTGATACATTCTGTTTAATTCACTAGCATGGCAGCCATTGAATGACTTGCATTTTTGGTTATTAGTTACCTGGGTCCACATTCATATGCAACTTCTTCTGTTTCTGTTAGCAGTTCTCCGCCACTTTCATTGTCTCCTCCTTCAGGACCAAGTTCATATAACTAGAACACGTAAATAAGAACATCAAAATGTGCACCCTAGCTTTATGTAATGCAAATAATACTAATATCTAAATACAATAAGACTCATATATATTGTAACACATAACATTTAAGACTGGAATATTATTATTTTATTAATTTTTTTTTTTTTTTGGGGGGGGGGGAGTACAATTTATAGCATTTATAATTTTCAATACTCAATGTACGATATTGTGCACTGCCAATGCAATAACATATCACAAGTAACACAAAATACTAAAGTTATTTGTTATCATAATCAAAAATTGCAGAAGACTGTAACCTTTATTTTTCCAAAGTACTCTCCTCTTCCCCCAAACAGTCCAAGTCCTCCCAGTAAGATATCACTGTCGGCCATGAAGCGCACAGCCTCTATAGAGTGACCGGAGTAACCCCAGCCGCCGCCATGGCCTGAAAGATGAGACATGTTGTATGTTAAGAGGCTGATATAAACAATAAATCATAGTCTGAGATAAAAAGCTGTTACAGTAGCACAGGTGGTTCTTGGACCAGACATATGTACATATTATAGGAATAAACCTACTGGGCACACCCTACTTGAAATATATACATATATATCAACAGAAAATTCTGTCCTAACAGTGACTTTAGCCAAGTAAAAAATTCTACATTCCATATGACATTGGTTAGTAAAGATGTAAAAAACCAAAGCAAATTATAAAATAATAAAATTGGAATATATATTTCTATGCTTGAAAACATGAATAAAAAAAACACTTTGTGACTAAAGAAAATTAGTAGACACATTGACTCACTTTCAAACCTATTGGCCACATTGTAGTCCTCCTTGGTGAAAGCTTTGTTAGTGGGCTGGTTTTGCTTCTCCTCTTCATTTACACTCAAGTTCAGCTGGTGGGCACTGGTCAGGGTATCCAGGCAGCCTAGGACAAGATATAACATACAAATAGAAAAGGGGGAAATTGGGGGAAGGACACCCATCACAGTTCACAGAATACAGTAATTAACAATTCACAAACAGCACACAAAACTGTCTTGTAAATGTTGGCTTTCAATTTTTCCATTTTTAACACAGACAGACTAAAACAGTTCTATATTCCAAATGTATCTATAAACTGAAGCTGGTGATTTATTACTTAATCCAACATGCATTTTATATCTTCCTTGCATTAAAGTCTCTTCTCAGCTGACTAGTTAAAATAAATCTGTTATGTTATGTAGTTTATTGTGCATTTATCTCACTAAAACTGCCAGTCCTGGACTCAAGATTTCCCACCTAGAGCTAGTGATAGTTAACCTACCTAGTACATGTAAAGCACTATGAGATCTTGTAGTAAGACACCCCTGCCTTACTGGAACTGCCAGCCCTGGGCTCAAGATGTCCCCCACATTGGGCTGCAGTTCCTGTATTTTCCTGGTCTCAGAGCTGATCACATTGTAACATTCCAGCTCCTGTGTCTTGTGGGAATAACTGAAATTGGAACCACATCATTTTCTCTTAGACTATGGTCAATAATCTTTCTTGAGCCTTAGTTCTGATATGTTAAGATGTGATCTCAAATTACAGAATGGCATTTTGTCAAAGAGACCGTCTGATTGTGCTTTGTTGTCTATATGCTGACCATTTCAACAAACTCATATGCCAAGTATGCTATATTTTTGCCAGGTGTCACTTCACATGTGGAAAGTTATAAGGTAAAGTTGTACTCCCCTTAAACCCAACTACAATACAGCAGTTACAAATAAACAAACCTGTTTAATAACATTTTTCTAAACAAAAAGAAAATTAATTGGATTGCTGGCAGTTTTATACTTCCAAAAGAAGAATTTTATGTTCAAAGAGTATTTTTTTTTCATTTTTTGTAGGCCGGTTCCTGTACCTCCACAATACATCATAGACAGGATCCAAACACACACTATGGTGGCTGAGGTCGGCCTGGTCACTACCATTGAAACTGCAAGAAAATTACAAAATAATTGTGAAATATAATGACACAATGGAATTCAAGGCAGAAAGTTGGCATATTCTTTGCTGTCATTTGCAACTACTCATGCCTGATTTTAATTCAGAATTTATCCAGATTAAAAATGAATAAAATACACATATCGATCAAAAAATACATTTGAGATTTCTGCCTGCTGTATGCACTCTAAGTGATAGAAGAAAATTAAATAGTGTGTGTGTGTGTGTGTGTGTGTGTGTGCGTGTGCATGTGTGTGTGAGGAGGCAAGTAGGTGATGGTTCCTACCTTTTACAGCTTCCATCTGCCCTGTTGATGATCAAACACTTAATGGATGCTCCTCCATCTTCACCAGTAGGAATCAAGCCTGAGCAGAAATACAGAACTACATGTATTAAAATACATACTATTAATTTGACCACAGTGAGATCTTGTAGTACATTGTCACTGATATTCTATTAAAATGACCACAAAAGAGACATTAAACACTAAATGGTTAAATTAACAATTGTAAACTCTATACATTTTTGTCCATTAGCTTATAGGATCTCAATCTAACTTCCTGCAAACATAGAGCACCCGACCAAATTGTGTCCATATCTTACCTATACAGGACTGGTTAGCAAACAGAGTGGACCTTGCCAAAGTATGGGCATTGATCAGTGACTCATCAATGCGTAGAAATGTCTGGTCACTGCTGGCTCCAACCCAGGTGGCTCTGCGACCACATTTCATTCCTGAGCATGAGGCAATATTATAAATAACATTAAAATGCTATTTTAATTATTTTCGAGTGTATTTATCCTTTCAGAGGGAAGCTGGCTATTATAATACTTTTTGTAACAAAAGCAGATTTTTATTAAAGATTTGGCAGCTCTTTAAATTCCAATGACCATTCTTTTATTCTTTTTTTCTTTCAAAAATGAATGAAAAAATAAAAATACCAAAACCAGGAAACTAATTAACTGAATAATCCTAGTAGCCGTTATTATAATATTTCATATTATCTAGCACACACAGATAGCTGTCATTAAATGATCTCACCTATCCCAGCCACCAAACCAGGCATGGCGTACCACATGGTTTTCTTGTCTCTGGCATCTTCGGGGGCTGACCGGCCCAACTGACCTTTCTGGAAATAGAACAGACAAGTCTTCTTTTAAAATAAACTATGCTTTTGAGTTCTAATATTCAACTTTGCAATGTTATAAGTGGCATTCTATTAAATATTACATTTAATCACATTAACATGGCTTAAGCTAATGTTTAAATATGTTGCTGCAATTCTGCCCAAGGGCAAAGGATGATTATGAAGCTAACGTGCAGAGTTCTGTGGACCAAAAATCTGAATAGCTCATATTTACTTTTTAAACCCATGGCTGTCAACGGGTTGTATAATCAACAGTCACATTCAGATACCCGTCCCTATGTATTCAACTGTCCATTTGTTTTAAAGTCAACAGTGAATACCCAATGATTCTCCTGTATGTATATACTCCTGTCCCATGGTTTTTGAAACTACTGTTCTTACCTGATAATTACCCCATGTATACACCTGTCCATTTGTTGTCAAGGCAACCGTATGGTGACTGCCAGCTGCTACCTGCACAATGGTTGTGGGCAACTTCACTCTGGTAGGGACACCCCTGGAAAATTTATGAAAAATCAGTTTTTACTCATTTTAACATGTTATATCCTAACACATGCAGTTTTCCAGAGAAGAGAAATAACTAAGGAAAAATTCATATTCAGTCTACTTCATATATTATGAAAAATCAACTGAAGAAAGTGAAAAATATCTTTTAGTACTATGATCTATATTCAACTCCATGCAAATGACCTGATGATTGTGTCTCCCTGCCCTAGCTGTCCATAGTTGTTACTTCCCCAAGTATACACATCTCCATTCTCTAACAAGGCAACTGGAAAAGATAAAATCGCAATACAAATAGCAGGAAAAAAAGAGATATCACATTATATAGTATGGCATATTCAGAAAAAATCTTTCCATTCAAAATAACACATAAATACATTATATCAAAATATTGAATTGTATTGTATTGTACTGCTTATGTGTGTTATCACTAAAAATTACCTTTGACTCACTGACAGAAAGACAAGGCTTCATTGCAGGACTTTTTGAAAGAAATTTTACCAAAATATATATCAAATTATTCAGTGTTGCCTTAGGAAAAATAGGCTACAATATATACTACTATTATTTTGTTTGTCATTTGTGGTGACTTTGTTCAATTAAGTGACCACAAACGACAGGTATCAACAAAAAGTCATCCACAGTTGTATAACTTACCTGAGTGATGGAGTCCACATGCCACCTGTGTCACAGCAATGTCAGCAGGCCCCACTGTAATTTCCTGAGGAGGGAGACTGATCAAAGAGGCAGCACTGGCCTCACCCTCTCCCATATCTAGAATATCCATTGACAAGAAATTGCATTGAAAAACTGTCAGTTATGACAACAGATGTCTTTATTTGTTCTGTATTGATTGTCACGTTTTGTCAATTTGGAGATTAACATTAACATTTAAACACAAAATTTAAATGGTGGATTGTATACTTAGACTACTGTAACACAGGCCCGTAGCCAGGGGGGGTTCGGGGGGTTCGAAAGAACCTCCCCTTTTGCTGGGAAAAGGTCCACTCTGGGTAAAATTTGATCTAGGTACATGAAGTTTTTATGGGAAAAGGTCCACTTTTTCAGAAAAAGAACCCCCCTTTTGAAATTGCTGGCTACGGGCCTGTAACAGTTTATGTGACCTACAATTTATTCCTGATATTGTATATTTTATATATCTGTTGGCTAAATAAATCTTTATCTTAACTAGATCTTCCGTAAAAATCTTTCATTCTTGAAAACTGTAAGCTTTTGCCAAACATTGATTTCAACTTGAAAATCTGTTTTCCAAAGAACACTGTACCAATTACTTTTGTCCCTATCAAAACAATTTAATATCAAACCTCTGTTTGCTTTTGCCTTTGGTTTTGCCTTGGGTTTCTTGACATCAAATTTTGGAGGAATTGGCTCAGCGTGAGGACCTTCAACTTTGGCTGCAAAAAAAAGAATGATTGTATAATTAATCAATTTTCTATCACAATGCAGTTTTTTCAACTAAGGGCTTGATTTTTATACTATTGTCATTCATTTGGCATCATAATGCAGTCAACTCATCTCATATCACGTTTCTTTGGTGTCATTTCATACTTATATCCACAGTGTGCCTTCTATCCCACCAGCCCCACTTTTTCAAAACTGTGTACATTTAATAACTATCTCTCAGTGTTTACTGATTTACCGCAAAGTGACATGTTTCCACCTATTACAAACTTACCAAAGAGAGAGAGAGAGAGAGAGTATATATCTCAATATACATATATATCTCAGGGGCATAAGAACAAGTAGCCCTCCTCACCTCCTAGTATCAATTCAATAGGAAGCACATCTTTGTTTTTTGCCAGGACCTGCAGCAGGTGCTCCCCATCCAGCTCTCCTTCTTTGTCTGTCTCTCCAGCACAAGAGCGGCAGCACCCACATATGGAGCACCCTGCATCTCCAGCTCCACACTTACATGGACTAAAACAGAACAACATAACACAATGACTGACCTATGAATCAGAGAGCATGATAATGCTGTCTATTTATGTAAAATATTCAGAATGTCTTAAATTAACTCAGTAGATTCTACTAGGTTAACAAGTCCACAAGTGATTCTGAATACTCGTAATATTTTCCAAAAATTTTCTATGAAGAGTATGAACATTTAAATCTGACTGTCATATAAAATAACTGGATAGATAACAGTAAACCCTCCTTACCCCCCAGGCTCTCTCCCAGGCTGCCCCACTGTACAGCAATTAGCGCCATAGCCTGTGCATTCACCACACACAGTACATATCATACAGAGGCTGCGCTTCCACTGGTGCTTTCTGGGACGGCACATGTTAACCTCCGTATCAGGTTCATCTGGTTCGTCATCTGCCATGACCACATTCATACTTCCTATAATAATTCACATGTCAATGAGGAATTCTGCATGCAGACCAAAGCCACCCATTTGCTGTATGATATTGAAAATCAGTAGGATGGACTACCATGAAAAGTTCTATAAATGCAACCTATATTCTAATTAACACTCAATATTCATCAAAAGTAATGTGCTGACTTCCTCTTCACTCATTAACAAAAAACTTTTTCAGACTTGTCGGACAGAAAAAAAATTCTAATGAAGTGACCAGTGTTAGTTAGTAAACAGTCAAACGAGCCATGTTATAGTACCCTGTAAGGCACCACTGTGCCTTAGAGGGTATACATGTATCCATACATGTATCCATACATACATGCATACATACATGCATACATACATACATACATACATACATACATACATACCTTCCTTGGAAGCCACATAGTCCCTGCCACACTGCCCCTTATTGTTAATACCAAATGTCCACACCTTTCCTTTGTTGGTGAGTGTGACAGCATAGGCTTTGCCCAGGGAGACCTGTGTCACTGTCACAAACTTCAAGTCTGTCACCTGACCTGTAAGGTAATGTTATTATGATATATAAACATAGTATTATATGAAAGGTTTCTGTTGTCTGAAACAACTTGATAATTTAACAGACAAGAATTTTTTATAGAAAATATTTCATAGCACGCCCCTTTCCAAGGTAAAAAAACGACTAACTTTTGTGCTGTCTCTTAGAAAATAATATATTCTTTACCACTTTTACACATGAGACAATGAAAAACTTATTTCACCAAACTTTGTTGTGTACTATCACTGTCAGAAATATATATATATATATATATATATATATATATATATATATATATATATATATATATATATATCATTACCAGTAGCTTCATCTGTATGACCATTGTCCTTGCCAAACATGAAGAGTTCCCCTTCCTTTGTGACCACAGCACTAGTGCCATTGTTACAAGCACACTGAACCACATTCTTCCCTTCTAGGCGAATCATCTTCTTAGGCTTGGAGGGCTTGGCTTGTCGACGACCTTTGGCTTTGGAAAACAATTAGACATTAACTTAAAATCTTTTACTATTAATGTATTTTTCAGATGACCAGAGAGATTATTTTTGTAAGAATTTCTCTTCCCTGCCCTTCTTTTCTCTATAGCCCAGTTTTCTAAGCTTCAAAATCAAACCCATGTACCAAAAATCTTCTGCTTATGCTATTCAAAAACGTTAAACAACACCAAACTATAAATCTGGTAAAACTGACTGCCTAAATGCCTGTGACCAACCTGCACTGCTGTCTCCATCCTCCCCTCTCTTGGCCAGACCCACAAAGAAAACGCTGCCATTATCTGCCACCAGGAGGCCGTGCTGACCATCATGTCCGACAGCATGCTGGACTATCTTTGGACTCTTTGTGATGGTCAGTTCTGACCACTTGCTGCTACCTGCTGCAGAAGCACCCTGTTTAATCCCCAGTGAGGGGGCCTTGCCAGTGTACATGACCTGAACAAATAATGAAAATACATTCATTTTCTCACACAACGATGCCCTATGTTTGGCTCCCACAGTTTAATTAGCTTGGCTATTTGCATACAAAAGAAAATATGTTAATTTATTTTAAATTTTATTTTGTCAAAAATGTTTTTTTAATTTGTGTGATAAAATAAGATTAGCCGACTTCAATGCATGTTTGTATCATCTTATTTTCATTAAAAAGAAAATATCTCAGAGAGACACCATACAGGAGTAATTATTATGGTACAAGATGATAAATTAAATTAATATTGACTGGGATTACAGAAATCCCAACAGTCATCTGAATATCATAAATGAAGTGGTTGCCATAATATAATGAGGTGAAAATGACACTGGTCAAAATGGATTCAAAACCAGTCCCATGCAATATTCTTCAACAATATTCTTCAACAATATTCTGCCCTCTATTCCTTTAGTGAGTTTGTTCAAAGCAGAAACTTCACTCAGAGCCGAATTGACCCACCTTTCCAGAGGCTGTCCTCATCAGAGCAAACTCTCTACCAGAAGCTATGGACAGGGCATCTTCATCTGTAGCCATGCCTAGAGAATAGAGCATGTGGACATTAATAAAACTACAAACTGATATGGATTCACCTATTTTTGTAATTACACATTGTCATGTAAAATCAGCAAAATATCTGAAGCTTTTGATTAAAACTGTAGCACCAGAGCAATCATATCAATTAAATTCACCTGGATCGTTCTAAAGGCCAACTGTCTTCATGAAAGTTCATGTAGCTAAAATCCTTTACAAAAATTTAACTGCAATATAATATTTGATGTGTTTGAAAGCTGAGACTTCTCAACAAAAGCAACTTGAGGGTACTTACTTATGGTGTGTATCTCTGCTTCAGGATCATAGGCTGCTGTTCCAAACACGTCCATGCACTTCCTGGCCAACTTCAGAGGCAGTTCACTGACCAGTGGCATGGGGGAAGTTAGGGGGCTGAACGTTCTCACCACAAACCCATCCTATTCAATACAATTAATTTTACCATTTGACAATCTAATAAAATTTTTCTTGTGGTATATTTACAGACGTACAATTATATCAAAATTGATGGCAACATTGCTTGTCTGTGTTCATTTCACTGTTTGTGTTCCTTTCAATAGGGATTATCAAAACCTTGTTTCATAGGCCACCGCCAAAAATACAACGGCATCACCCTCAGTATTCTAAAAACATATTTTATTGTCTGTCTTTCTAATGTCATTGGATAAGTAGAGAGAAAAAACAAACAGATGAAAAAGAATACATTTATATTTCTAAGAGGAATAACAGTGCTGTGACCCTTACTGACCAGCAGAGAGACGAGGTACAGGGCAATAAATACGGTGTAGACTCAAAACTAGGTGGCGTTACAAGTTAAAGGTGTTGCAACAGGTAGTCAGAGTCAAAAGAAAACAGAAACTATGCTTGTTTTATTGTCATTGTCTTATTAATATTATAATAATAATAAGATTGATAGGAAAAACTATAAAAACAAACCTCTTTTGCAGCAGCCACATGTCCCACCATGTCTCCATCACTGAACATGACATTTGGGCCATAGCTGTCACCTGGAGTGGGACAAATGACAAGGCTGTCATGGTGATTAGGCATTTATGAACAGCTTCCCCGCCCACGCCCCACACACATTGATTTCATTAGGTATTTGAATATTTTTTCACTATTAACTTTTTCATTGTCCTTTTTTAAGTTTACTTTTCAAAACACAGCTTGGTTCCCACATTTTGAAAATTCAGAACACATTATCCAAAATCTAGAAATGTTTTTGTAACATTTAAAATTCATGGTGTGATATTTTACCCTCTATCTGAAAGGTTGTTTCTTCTTTCAATGTATCTGGGTTGACTGTAGCAAGAACAACATGCATGTCCATAAGACTTCTATAAAACAGCTTTTCCTAGAAATGTATAAACAGAAAAGTTAATAAAGACACAAAAATGAAAGCAAAAGCTGGTTAGATTTTGTCTTTTGCTAATGTAAGTAACTAAGGTTTTGTAAGTACAAAATTTTGCAAAATTGGTATGAAAAAGATCTTTATCACATATATAGATTCTCATTCTAGATAAACAGTGAACTAATACAACATTCCCATGTATAAACTTTGACTATCACTTACATTAGCAAACTCCAGCCAGCCCCTGTCTTTGTTGTGAAAACTGGGATTGCATCCATACACATGACCCTGGAAAAGAAGCAGAGAAGACAATGTGATCATATTTAAATATAAATTGTCAAGTAAAACCTTCCACAATAATACATACAAAATTTGAAAAAGTATCCTTAGCCTACATTTACCAAAAAATCAATTCAACAAGTAGGGATTTTTTACCCTAACATATGCTGAATGCAATTAATAGATAAAGTATTCATGAGTGCTTTACTTGAAAGAAAAACATTGCACTGGCCACTGTATCTTCTGCAAATCTTCTTCCTGCAATATCAAAACCTACCCTGATAGTTCCACTGTAGCCTGAGCCTACTTTAGACAGCCCATGCTTGGTGTGTATGTACAAGTACTGCCCATCACTGGCTATGGCAGAATGTGGGGACTCTCCTTGGCCTGAAACAAAGATAGCTTTATGACTACTTCTTGTCGCTGTCTGCATGAGTTGCTGGGATGTGACTGTAAAAACGTTTTACTTATTCAACTTGATATATACCCTTAATCATGCATCTTTACTAAGTAAACTGAACATTACAGCATCACCAAACTCTCAAAGACCAAACTTGACATATTTCTAAAAGACTAATTTTTGACTATTTCTCAGTTTTAATTGGCTAACCTTTGTCCTCTGTAAGGTGAACTTTATCGACCAATGCCTTCCTCCTAATGCCACAAGTTAACCAATCAGGGCCATAGGTCCGTCCTAGCAGAACTGCTTGCACACTGCGCTGCAGAGACACCAGTATACCTGGAACCTAGAATACAAGCAATATATCCTTTAGAATGAAACTAGAGATAAATACAAGCAGGCTGCCAGAGACAAATCTTGTTTCAGGTCCATTAGTTAGAAAAGTAAGATCCTTCCAGACATGTTTCTATGGTATTTATTTTTGTAGTCTTGCTTCATCGTATTTTTTCCTTCTCTTAAAACACAGTTTTCTTTTTAATTTTTAATATATAAAATTGTTGAGGCTGTGTGATAACCCAGGTAAATACTCATGAATTGCACAAAAATTTACAATTAACACAAACACTGCTATTACTTTTATGTTCTGTGTCCTCAAGGGAGGTGGACTCATTAACATGGCTGAGGCAGCACTGAGCAGTTTCCCTGTGTCTCCCCTGGCTATACACAGGCTGAGGAGACATGTACAGGCCAGAGCTGTCAAGGAATTCCCTTCTTTGGGAGATGAATCCCCTTGAACTACTGCCAGCTCCATGAGTAATTTGTACATGGTGTCTGAAAACAATATTATAACAAAAACATTTGGTAAGGTGAGATTTAAAACTGCAGATAAATCAGTTAAGTTTCTGTTATAGTTCAGACATTAATTTTACTGAAAAGAGATTATTGAGAGTAGGAATAATTGTAAAGGAAAATATATATGGACTTTAGAGTAGAAAAATGAAATGATAGTTAAACACATATAGGGCATGTAGTCACAGGGAACTAAATAATATTGATGCACAGTGGAAAACAAAAGAAAAATAATTGCATGTCCTCACTGTTGATTGCACTCCAAACTCACAGATGAACTAAGACATCTCAGGAAAAAAGACTGAAGTATATCAAAGCAGCACCCATGATAACACAGCAAACTGGTTAACACAAATGAATGTAAAAACAAACAAGCCAACTTACACAGCACAACTAACACAATGAACAATTACCTATCACTTCTGCTGGTTCATTCCGTAGCCCCTCAGGCTGTTGTCCTTGTAACATATCCAGTAAAGCCTGCAGTGCCTTGGTGCACAACTCTGGGTAAGCAGTCCTGCTTTCTCTGATCAGCTCAAACACTCCACACAAACCTATACCCACAATCTTGAAAGAAAGGGAATTTTCTCATCATTATTTAACATTAAATAAATTCCATTACACCACATACACATACATACACATCTGCAAAAAGTAAAATATGACTATGGATTTTATTGTGATTATCATTAACCATATAACAACCACGCAAAGTGTTAAGGTTAATATCAATGATCTGGGCATCAGAGAATTTGAATTCAAACCAAATTTAAGAAAATGTGATCTTGTTGGTTACTGACTAAACATGTGTAGAAAAACTATATTTTCTGACCACTGAATCCTTCATCTGATTCTGTCTTAAACCAAAAGACCAGAGAATTACAGTCAAAATAACACTATGCAAAATGAGTTAAATTTTCTAATTTTCTTTTACAAACTGTCTTTTGCCAAACTATAAAGACGACCAAAACAATGAACGGTAATCTATAAACACAGACCATGAATGAATTGTGTACATGAGAAAACATGAAAGACAGCTGATCATTTTATCTTTTAATGGTTATTTCTGTACATTACCTTGGCAACCTTGACAGGTGGCTCCTTCAGCTTGTCATCCACATCTTCATCACTTTCCTCATCTGACCCTTTGTCAGTGTTTGCCTTGAAGAAAATCTTGGCTGCTTCCTTTACTTGCTGTTCAAGCACAGACTGGCGTACGTGAGAGTACACTGTAAAAGTGGACGCATTGCCATGGAGCTCGATCTGGGGGATGTTGGGTTCCTGGAAGTCTGGACTGGACTCTGGCTAGAAACAAAGAATCATAAAACTTGTCTAGAATTGTTCAGAACAATACATTTTGAACTAAATAATCTGGTTTTGATACTATTATTATTGATCGTTTACAAAGACTTTACTTTTTTTCAGAAAAAGAAACTTTTATATTATTACGGTATGGAAAATCTTACCTTATTTTTTCCTTTGTCCTTGCCTTTCTGCTTAAGAGCCTTCCGACGAACTTTTCTTTTCTCTATCTTTTTCCTAAAACATGAATTTTTATATCTTAAATATCATTAAAAATTACCTGCATATTTTGATATATGGTGAGCTGGCATTTGATACTTGTTTGATTCCATGCTAATTTAATGTTTGCAACATCAACAAAATTCAGACATGAGCAAGTTGAACCGTATGTGCCTCCATCAACTTTCTCCACCTCTTCACCACAAATTACATTTGGTTAACTTGGAAGGTTGTTCATAAGAAGTCGAAATGTTTTAGTAAGCCCAAAGAAGTATCTTTCAGTCCGCAAAAAGTATTGTAATATATCAATGAAGAGAGAGAGAGAGAGAGAGAGAGAGATGCCCTAAATCTTAAGTAATATACCGAGTAGATGAATATCCACTTGTATTTTAAAATCATTACATAGTTGTACTTACTGTGCATCATCTTGCTTGTGTTGAAAGAGTGAGTGGAAATAATTGCTTAGGACGTCGCCTTTCAGCAAATACTCGGCGTGGTTACTGCGAGAACCAGCCAGCACCGTAGTCGACATATTTGCCACTTGCCTTCAATTTCTCTCTCAGAATATGTTTGGCTGCACTATACCTTAATTTTGCATCCACTATTCAGCCCCTAATGGAATTTGATTTTGCACAATCATTTAAAAACACCGAAAAGCGTATTGCGACCAGTCAGTCGCAACCTTCCTTCCATATCGATCCTGTGACGACTTCCTCAAATTGGAAGGTAGGGCACCTTTTAGGTTGATCTTTTCTCCTAATACATCTGTCTTTTTCCTGTCCGAGAAAATTAATTAATAAGTCAATTAAANCACTTGCCTTCAATTTCTCTCTCAGAATATGTTTGGCTGCACTATACCTTAATTTTGCATCCACTATTCAGCCCCTAATGGAATTTGATTTTGCACAATCATTTAAAAACACCGAAAAGCGTATTGCGACCAGTCAGTCGCAACCTTCCTTCCATATCGATCCTGTGACGACTTCCTCAAATTGGAAGGTAGGGCACCTTTTAGGTTGATCTTTTCTCCTAATACATCTGTCTTTTTCCTGTCCGAGAAAATTAATTAATAAGTCATTTATACTGAATTAATATGATTCGGCAGTTCAATTAAAGTACATGTACTTCAACGATCGCGTTAATATTTCATCAAACCCAAACCTGTGCCCCTAACAGGACCTCAGCTCGGCGTAAATGAAACCTTTAATAACCTCTAAATGCAAAAGAGTGAAGGCGTGGAATTTAGCACCTTTGCGGAATTTCCCCGTTATTTTCGTTTTCCTTCATTTTGATGCCATTCAGATACATTGACGTGGAAATTCATCTTTGCAAACAAAAATGATTTTTTCATTATAAACATGGAGATTTATTTTAAATTTTCAAAGAAACTCAGAATATAACTGCAGTTTCATTTTTCATAAGTGACGTCGCAAATGCTGGCAATCATAACAAAAAATTCCCCTTATCAACGCGCCTTTCCATTTCAAACGTTTATTAGCACTGTACAGTTTTTGTGTTGTTTTATATCCTGGAGATATGTTTAACATTAGCCAATTTTTTCAAAAAAACATTTTACATACCGCTTTAATGTATCTTTAGTGTTAATTTCCAAATAATAATAATAATAATAATAATAATAATAATAAGTGCCTTCAAATGAACATAAACACTGGAAATGTAACATTACAGATTTTGTCTAGAATTTTTACAAGGAATAAGGAAAGTTTAACAAAATTCAACTATAAAGGAGCACACAACTGTGATTAATATTGTAAAACTTTTTGACATTTTTGATTTATGTAACTGACACTTACAGTATATAACAGTACAAAATAGTTTCATTTTAATAAAATGTCTGAAGACTAACCCTACACAGTTGGTAAAATGTAACTGTGAACACAATCTTAGAGTTAATAGTTCACATATATATTTTGGCATTTCAATTACCTCTGCCTGAATACAACAAGTTAAACTTTCTGATGTATTAAACACCAGTGGAGCCACATACAGTGAAACCTGAAAGCTCAGCCAGTGTAGGATAAAATAAGAATTTTAGGTACAGGAGAAATGGGATAACTATCTACAAAATTCATTTTCATTAATGCAAGGTGTATTTAAAGTCTTTCTAATAAATAACATGTTAAATTTTACAAAATACCAGTGATAACCAGTTAACTATCAAAAATAAATAAACATTTTTCTACTCTTAACATACAAGTTGTTGACCTTTTCTCATCTTATCCAACTATTAAGCAACATGACATGTAATTTATATACTCTAAAATGTATTTTAAAAATACCACAGATCATACGAATAGGCATGCCATGTAACCCTACACATTATGTCAAAATTAGGGAATTGGGAGGGATTGATTTTTATATTGACAAAAAAAAATTCAATTTCAACATATCATCCGACCCAAAAATTCAAAGCTCCTCAACCAAATGACATGGCAGTATAAATATATTAGTAATAAAATTCAATTGAAAAATCTAGCATTTTACTGCTCTAACAGGGTTCATACATTCACGGACTTCCTAGGTTTTAATTTCATGTACTTCAGAAGAGCTTTTTGAATGCAAATGAGAATGCACTGTCATTTATAAGTGTACATACCAAAGATAAAAGACAAGTAATATTTCACAATTGTCTTTCAAAACATTAATGCTGAAACATGAAAAGAATAAAATCAGGTGTCCAAATAGAGGTTTCTCCCCTTCTCCCAATTATTGTCTACATTCAGTTTAAAATGATAAGATTTGAAATCATTTTTGACAAATTGTTTAGTGACTAAATTCAAGAAAAAATGATGGAATACTTCACTAGACCACAAACCAAATTCAAGGACTAAATTCAAGCACTTTTCAAGGCTGTATGAACCCTGTATAAGGACGGTAGATTATGCTCTCCTTTTCAACTTCTGAAACTGCAAGGTAAGTCATTTATCCTCAAAACAAATTTTCCTCGTTTATTAGGTCAATTGCACATTACAGAAATTTGATCAATAATATGGAAAATGTAAAAATATCTAAGTAAGTTTACAAGTACATTTTTTAGAAAAAACTAGTAACCCTTAAGGGATTACATACTGAAAGTAAATTATCAAGCGGTAAGTTAAACTAAAAATTTCAAATGCATAGTGAATTATACTACCTCTATAAATGGGATTCTATTTCACTATGTTGTCTTTTAAATTTCAACATATCATCTGATCCTAAAATTACAAGTTACTATTGTAAATGTATGAGGCATGTACAGGTGAAAGTTTAATGATATGATACAATGAAACAGGGCTTCCCTTTAACTAAAACAGTATATATTTTGTACAATGGGCCTGCCTTTTCTGCTGAACAATCTCAATCAATATGGTCCACCTGTTTCCATTACCTTATTATTTTTTTAAATTTTAGCTGAGCCCATGGACGGTTCAACCATAAAATGATAACTACAAGAAAGATTAGCCTTGGAATTCACCACTCATAAAGTGTCCCACAAAGTCTGGAATACTGGCTCTACTTATTTGGCAAAGATAAAACATGTCTTTTACACCCAAGTGGTGCAGCAGTTGTGTTTTTCCAGCACTTCTGCACTGTGGGGTTAACCTCCTGTCTGCTGCTGAAATACATCAATAGCATCTCCTTCTTCCATAGCTAACTGAAATAGACAAAAGAAGTTCTTATTTTAATCATGTTTGTTATAGGTCGCACCTAATTTCTTAGGGTACATTGCCAATGAAACTATTGTTCTATGTAGATCAATCCAACTCTGCAGGGACTGGCTGAATGCGATCAGATTAACTGAATGACACGCCTCTTAGAGGAGCTAGGGGGTGATTAACTTTCATGTACATTCCATCGCACAAACACACACACACACCCCACCAGATTTTTTCAAACTTCTGACTTGTAACCCATGATCAATCTCCTTAAAATGATACAAGTACTTACTATGTTTGGAGTGTCATTTTCATTGACTGGACTGCCATCAAACATGAACCTGACAGCCTCTTTCCTAAGGCCCTAACAAATAAAGAATAAAAGAAGTTAAGTCTATGTTAAACATAAATGCAATGCCCTCTACAAATGGACATTTCAAAAGAGAAATTATAAACTATAATGTATTTTTCAGTCCACAGAGTATAGATTCATCATATTGATAGAAAACTTTAAACTGAAATTTTAAGTTTATTTCTATGACTCTTAATTATATGACAAAGAAGCAAAAGTAATATGCTTTATAAATTAAATTTTTTACCTATAAGCAATTTGGAAAAAAACAACATTTCTCTATTAAAGCCCTTGTTGCTCTCAATGTATTCTGAAAAAATTATTGGTTAACAATATAAAGCATTACAAATTCCCTCCTTTTAAAATAAATACTCACAGCTCTGGTACAATATGCATTCATAAGTTTCTTTAAAGCTGTGTTCTTTTTTATCCTAAAATGCACCACAGATCCATCCTGGCCTGTTACTTTCAAATTCAGCAGATCTTCATTATTTTTGCTCTCCTGTTATTAAAAAAGAAAATGCCATTATAATAAATATGTTTTCAAAACAGCATATGCTATTAAACAGACATGAGCCTGGTTTTTAGAAAAAAAAAGACTCTGAACATTTATTGTGGAACCAAACACCTTACGTAAATTTTGGGGGTTTAATTGCTCTGGGATCATATAAAAAAAGCTGAGTTCTGTGATTCTTGGGATAAAGCTCACGTCTGATTAAACCTTTTGAACTCAACATCAGTTTCTGTCCAGTCTGGCTAGTAGATTTCAGCTAGTATACAGATTTATAACGGGCAACTCCCTGACAATCAACAATAGCAGGACATTAGGCAACAAAGGATTCTGAAGCCAGAAGGCATAAGCTCTAAATACATGTTAAACCACCATTTTGATAAATTGGGACGAAATAAGATTTCAGTTCTACATAATTAATGCAAGTATAGCCATGGAAGACTTTTTAAAAGAACTTTCATTCTTTTGTTTCACATTAAGATCAGGTAAAGCATAAAAAATCCAATGTTAGCTCTTTTATTTACTTTTTTTTTTTGTATCAACAGCTGGAATATCCATATAATTACATGCATGAGTTTTACCACTGAAAATCAGAAAATTGCAAATAATCCCTCTTCCTCTTGGCATGGATATGAAACTTAGTCAAAGCAAAAGGGCATTCTTTTAAACAATGTGCAAATCACTTCTAATGTCACATTCTTATTACTGTAACTTAATTCAATAGTGTTTTTTCTTTTTCCAGAAATATTTGTGTCTACTACCCCTGTAAGCATCTTCAGCACCACTCACCTACATGTAAAACATAAGGGATAGTGAATTTAAAGATGGCAAATATAAATTTGCTTTCTAAACATAAGGAGTCAGTCCACATACACTGTACAGTATCTTTCAGTGTCACATTCAGTGAAAGCTAATTAAATATAAAGTTCACTCCTGATAAAAATAAAATTAGCAACTCAATTATCTCTATTGTTGTTTGTGGCTTACAAACTTAATCCTTTTTCATAATACACAAGCTTAAGTTCATGAGACGCGCAGAAAAGGACACTGTCATCACACGTGACGGACAGGAGCGTCTCACAACTTGTCTGGAATTTGGTTGGAACATATTTTCAGAGGCCCTTAGTCGAGTAACAAAGTTGAGATTTTGATCGAAAGATATCTAGAAGCAGAAAATCAATTAACAGTATATATCATTTACTTAATTTGACGTATCACTCTTATTTTTACCTTTTTATCGTCCATTTTGGTACTTATTTGTCGTAGTCCAGAGATGAAAAATGATTGAATATTGGCGCACAATGAGGTGAGTGCTCAGCAGAAACTGCTTATTTTACCATTGCTTGGCATTTTTCTAGACCACATTCCAAAAAATAGAGAATTTATACTCTAAAAAATCTTTTTTGTTGTATCTCTTTATTTCTACTAGGTATCTTTCATATTTTATGTTGTCAATAAAAGGTTATTGTGATTGTCTTATTTTCTGCTGAATAGTGCTAAAGTTAATCCCCAATTTCCGGTTTCGAGCTAGGGACTAAATAGGGTAAGTGTTTACCGTGTTCACCTGAAGTTTTTTTTCATTTGCGAATCGTTCTGTGTGCATTTGAGTAATTACAACTCAGAGTAAAGTTCCGATATTTATTGTTCACACCTTTACTTGCACCATTTAGGTCAAGCAATTATAACCAGTAGACTCCGCCCCTGGAAAAAATGTAACTACATGTAATGCTAACAGAATTTGTTTGTCTGCAGGTGCGTCCATAAAATAACCAACGTGGGATAACCAATCACTGAATGCATCTTTAGAAATGTAGATTTATCAGGCCTTATTTGTCATCATTCGTCGTGGGAAATGCTAAGGTAAAACTTTGATATTGATATATTGCCTGTACTGCAGTACTCTTATTTCATTTGTTGTGAATTTTTTTTTTTTTTTTTGTTTCTAGCACTCTGTCAGCTAGAATATCTAAATTATAATAACAAATGTATTTGCTTTCAAACTATTGAGCAGTAAACAGTGTTTTTTTACATATTTAACAGAAAATAAGTTCTTCTTAGGTCACAGAATGATGTGCTTTTTGCCTTTTATTAGAGATGGCCCACCTAAGAAAATAGCATTCATTTTAGATACTGGCAATGGATGGCAGAGGTAAAATTCCAGTGGAATTAATGGGATACAAGTTACATTCTTTGCAAGAGCAAAATCTACTTGTAGGAACTAAAAATCAAATTTATTTTTTCAGTATTAAATTATTTTATATCATTTCAGGTGTGATCTCATACACAATGATGTCCAGTTGAATTTAACAAAATGCAAGCCATAAGGGCAGCTAAGGCCAGTCTAACCAACACAGTCAGTAATACTGTCAGTACCATACAACAGTTCTTTGTGAACTTGTGGGAAGGCTTCATATGGATAATCTACATCAGACCCAAACTTTTCCTAATATCAGTGTATGAAGGCATAGTAGCAGGGTTGATAGCAATATGGAATGGGATTTTGTCTTTTGGCCAGGGGATTAAATATGTGGTGTATGATGTACCGATAGCATGTGCCATAGTGACTGTCCGGGGTATTAAGTATACTTTTTATACCAAACCAAGGGAGGTCCTTGCTATCACTTGCATATGGATCAAGGAGACTACTATAGCTGTAGGACAAGGATTAAAATATGGACTCTATACAAAACCCAAGGAGTGCATAATATATGTGACTACACAAACCAAGGAAGCCTGCATAAGGACAGGAGAGGGCATTAAATATGCCTGTTATACAAAACCCAAAGAAATTGTTATTGGTGGTTACAATTCTACAGTAAGTGTCGTCTTTCATGCAGGAGAAACAGTAAAGTTTGTTGTATATACTTGGCCAAAACAGGTTATTTTGGGTGGATACACTAGATTAAAACAGACCTTAAGGGATACAAAACTGTTCATTTACAACATTGCTTTTGGATTGAAGCAGTCTGTATATGTAAAGCCAAAAGAAACCCTTGCCAGTGGCTGGTTAAAAACCAAAGAAGGGGTTAAAAACTTTTGGACAAATGTTAAAGAATCTGCCAGACGAACAAAACATAACCTGTATACTCGACCAAAGGAGTATACTATTGAAAAAGTTCAGAACCTTAGAAATGGTTGTGTAAGAGTATGGAACTACACCAGTCAAAAAGTAGAAGATGCAAAGGACTGGGTTTTCAACTTCAGAGAGAATCTCAGCCAGAAAAAGGAGCAGTTCAGAGCACTACCGCTCCACTTCAAACTCATTTACACGACAGTCTTCATTGCTTTCATGTGTGTCTTCACTACCACCATGCTGCTGGTGTGGGACTACTACAGAGGCAATTACTCCAGGGTGGCACACAAGACTGAACAGATCTCTGCACTGTTTGACAGGTGTGTACACTTAGTTGAACGTTTCCTCTGGTACCTGGCTGGTCAAGTTGCCACAGCAGGGAGACACGTGTTGTGGGCTCTCCTGGAAGTTCTAGATTTTGCCTGGGAAATTGTCTGTTTTCTATTCGACATACTTTGTACACTCGTGGGGTATAAACTGCGATGGCTAGTCAGCCTGGTGGCATACTTGTTCAGGCTTCTCCGCCTTGTTTTCTTCATCATCACAACACTGTGGAAAGTGGTCTCCTTTGTTCTGGAGAAGTACAACATTTACAGAGAGGGGCTGTTCATGTTCAGCATGTCTGTGGTGACCATCTATTGTATAGGCCTGACAAGGGACAGACTAGAATCAGAATATGAATATGAACATTCATTTTCCCAGTCTATGCTGCCTGGAATTGATGATGTGGATTTGCCACCATATGAGGGATCGCAACCCCATGAGGAACTATCAGCCGAAGAAGAGAGGGAGCCACATGACCCCCATGTGCGAAAGCGTGTTCTACAGCAGCTCTCGGAGGAAGATGACGATGTGATGTACGAGTCCATGCTGCCAGACGATGCAATTCCTGATGTAGACTCACTTCTTGAAGATGAAGGTGGCGTAAAAGACACTGTGGGGTCAGAGTCAGTCAAGGGAGTAGGTGACACAACAGACATCACAGTTGTGGAGAAAAATGTGATGTACACTGTCATCCCTGAAGAGGAAGAATATGAAGGGAGTAAAGATGAAAAACTATCCAGGAACATATCTCATAGTGAAGTGGAGTCTCTGGGACCAGCCCATAGACTTGATGTTGATGTTGATGATGGCAAAGCTCACACTTCTCTTGAATTAGACTGCCCAGTCCCCGCAAGAAAATACTCAGAAGACAACGACTCAAATCCTCATGACGAGTCTGGCTATCTCACCTCTTCTGATACAGGTGTGGCTCCATACAACAGACAGGTCAGCACAGACTCCTACATGTCAGAGAGGGCCAGTGCCCTGAATGAACTTGACCTGGTGATATGCCAGGAAGAATCTAAAGATCCTGAGGTGATTCAGGCTGAGACTGAAGCCATGGGGCAGTTGGAACATGTAATTTCAGAGGCTGAGGCTGAGGAGGCTGAGGAGGAGGAGGAAGAAAGAGGGAGAGAAGTGGAGGACAAAGAGAGCAATGTAGAAGAGAGGGGAGGAACTAGAGTGGAGGACAAAGAGAGTGAGCAAGGAGAAACAATGTGGTTAGAAGAGACATGGGAAGTTGAAGGAGATTTCTCTGGGGGATATTTATCAAAACAATGAAATTAAATGTTATTCTTTTAAGTGAGTACTATCACATAATATGCTTTGTCTTAATTTAAAGACTCATATCAAATTATTGCTTTACTTTATACGTATTTTAATAGAAATAATCAATCCACTTTTAATGGTATTAAGCATGTGTTTATATTGATATGGATAACATGTAAACATCGTGGTACTTGAAAAATGATCATATTTTATCATTAATGGAAGGTTATATGTAATACTGCACAATATGTCAAATAATGTGGAGCAAAGATGTAGCCAGAGCAGATGTATACTACAATTTTACATATTGATAAACCCATTTTGAATTAATTTCTCCTTGCCTTTTATAACATTTGCTATATTTCATTTTATGCCCCCCCCCTCCCCTATTTTGGTTGGCCCAGCAATAATGTTCCCATGTGCTCTTTCCCCAGCTGCAAAAAGCAACTTCAGTTCATCAGTCCTCTATTCTACATGTAAGGCTGTACCTCGAGTTGCTTTGTATGGACAAGGACACGCCCCTCCTTTGGTCAGTTGACATAAGCCATCATGAGATGAGACTAACAGGTAGGGTGCGAATGCATTGCCCTGATCATATCCCAACTTAAATGTGAGGTTTGAACTACTAGTGGCTTGAAATGGACATGTTTATAGTAAGGCCAGTTGTTACTAATGTATGTGCAATTTAAGAAAAACCTTTTGTAAGCTTGGTTTATTTCCCTTCTCAATGTTTTGTTTTCTCTGTTTGTCTTGAATTTAACCATAAAAATTGGAAAACATTATAATGCATAACATACAAATTATAACCGATTTCAAAAGCCAGGTGTAATTATTCTCCGAATATTATACATTTAATTTATATATATGTTACCTGGCTTTGCAGTGCCATCATACCAATTTTATCATTGCTGTTTAATAGGTAAAAACTTTATAGGGAATAATTTATTTACACCTGGTGGTAGAACTTTATGACAAACTTTGGTACATTACAAGTGAAATTTATTAAAATTATACTCAATTTTGATATTTTTTTACAGTTATCTTCATGTATCTTGATTTCCAATTTAGATATTGAATAGATTTGATTGTGAATTTACTTTCTTGGTGTGGATAAAAAAGTGTGGACTGGTTTTCAGAATGGTTTTTTCAGAGAATTGTAAGTGACATTTGTCTGTTTGTCTATACATGGAGCAAAGCAAAGAAATTAACTACCATCTTTGAATTCACTATTAACCAACAACAACAACAAAGACTACCATCTTGAATTCACTAGTAACCAACAACAGCAGTTTGTTATTATTATCATTATTTAATTGTTATTTAGCATTATTTACAAATGTGATTTAAGTGTTGAATGTGTACAGTAAGTACTTGATTAACTATGCTCTGTATCTGTTTACCTGTAAAAAGTGTATTCATTTGCCACAATATACATGTTATCTCCATTTTAACTTTGGTGCTTTACAAATTTATAATGGTGTTTAAGTATCTAACTACAAATAGTGTTAACATAGTTGTTAGTCACCGTTTGGTACCAATATTTAAACCATAGGATTGGGTTCACAACACCATAGTTTCCCAGTGTTTGTCATGGATATATGTGAAGTTGTTAGCTAATTTTTTTTTTTTTTTTTTTTT